GTCAACCGTGCGAGAAATGATGTACTTCACAAAAACAAAGAGAAGTTGTTTTCGATATTCCCCGCCCCCTACCCCCGAAACTCCCCGACAGGACTGCTTCAAAGCACTTCCCACCCCCGGGCCCAAATGGCTAGACTTGTTCCTGTGGTTGCGCGGGGGATAGTAACAGGTCTAACTAATTGCACCGTGCATCAATGACAGTTTAGCTCAATCAGAAGCCCCTTTTCCCTGGCTAGGTCAAGGTGTGTTCTTACTGAAATTTTTGATCGTGAGGAAATTTACAACGACAGGAGCAGGTTATGGGCTTTTTTCCTACCCCTAATCCTACATAACGGGAAATTGGGAAATCCCTCAGGTTAGGCAAGAATTCGATAATCCTTCCATAATGATCCATTTTTTCACCGCGTGAATTGGGTACTTTTTAGCTTATTTCGAAGAAATACTTTTTGCTTCAAATCCAGGGTGGGCTTTTAAACACATTTTTTAAGCCAAATGGTTTTTGCGTGAATCTGCTTACGCAAACTTTTCGAATAAAAAAACGACAAATACCCGAAAAAAGCTCGTGTTGTTGGTGGTGGTGGCATATTTCCGATAAATTCAGTTCAATGTCTCGTCGTGAGGAAGAGTTCAGATCCGTTGAAATGCGAGCCCAAAAACAGGTGGTAAGCGGTCAATCTGTGAAAAGTAACGCAATCTCCGTCGTTTGAGAGCAGCCGAAGACGCTCTTGCCGATGCTGTGCTTGATGTTTTTTACTTCCAATGTCTAGGAGACCCATGCTAAGGTGGGGGGGTACTCAACGAAGTTTTGTTCCGGGAGCCTTCACCCCTTACCGTTTTATAGTCGAACTCTTGCACCCAGCAGTTTACTGTGGGTAATGAAAATTGGTTTGGACATCCATGTTATGGTCATTATTGACAGGAGTCAATATCGTGTATCCACTGAATAGTTAGATTCCTTGTTATAGAAATGCTTCTTGTTTGTCTTCAGAAAGTGAGCTTCACCTACAATCGGCAACAAAATTGCTGAGACACCGACCTCAAATGGGGTACTTCGATTTCAGGGAAGGAAACAAATTTCACCCGTTCTACCGCCTCCATTCTGTTTTTTCGCACAGGTGGCTATAATGTATAAGGGGATAGGGAAAGGCACAGCTTTAGGGAAACGTGTGTCAACTAAGTTTGTATAGTCAAAACACCTGTGAGTTATTTACAATAACAAAGAAGATAAGCAAACTGGTTGTCAATTAATTGCAGATGCCTCCTTCAAGGAAGATTCTCCCCAACCTATTAAATCGTTTGACCAGTACAGGAAAAACAAGGGAAAACAATGGAAGACTAAGTGTCAGAAAAAGAAAGGAAAACCCAAGGAAAAGGAACTGACAATTGCAATAGGTTTGTTGGAGTGGAAAGAAAAGAGGTTGAAACCAGCAAGGGGGAAACGAATTGTTCTAAGGGTATCCAACAATGCTCCATACACAGATACTTTCTAAAGCAGTCAAAAAGTGGAAGGCACATCATAGTGACCTCTACATAGAAGATGAAGAGTATCTCCTTGTATTTGAAAGTGGCAAGCAAGCCCAGTTTTTAACTGGAACGGTTGAATTTTTCACCCTTTCTAGGTATCAAGAGGAAATTGGAAAGGATTACAAACGAATTGTCTTGTATCTCTGCTCACAGATGGATGTAAACTCTGCTGAACGCGGATATGACTCCACTGATGATGAATATTCAGCTGAAGAAGATAAAGCAAAAAGAGCTAAATTACAGATCAAGAATGACGAGGAATTGGCAAGAAAACTGCAGCTTGAATTGGACAAAGGTGTAGATGCTATTGAATTTATTGATGATGGTAAACGTGATGATAAATCCTTACCAGATGTGGCAATCATGTCGCCCAGTAGTGAAGTTAGTGTAGATGTGAAAATCCTGGAGGACTCCTCTATTCCTAGCACTACAGCTACCAACAGTTCAGCTGAACCTGTCTGCAATGAAAAGCATCCACTACTGTTTTTAACTTGCGAAGATATGCTCAGATCTATTTCAAGTGGCTTAGATGATTCTGATCAGTCTTTCATTGTGGTACGAAGAGGCTCAACTTTCTAGCGGCAGCTAAAGATATGGCAGCGGGAATCAAACAAAAAGTCCCCTGAAAAAATGCTGAGAGTGCACTTTGCAGGTGAAGATGGCATTGACACTGGTGGTATGGCTCAAGAACTTTTGGCCAATTCCATAAAGGAGATAGGAAGAGAGTTTTTCCCTAATGGTTCCCCCATTGATTCCATATTACACGTTCATAATGGTTTTTTCTAGCTTGTGGTCAGATTGTCGCGGTAAGCCTCATCCGAGGAGGACCTCCTCCTCAGTTCTTAAACAACATCAATTATAACTTGCTCGTCAACCCACAGCAAGATCTCAGTGACTTGCAACCAGACGTCCACCTAACAGATCATGAAAGCGCAATCCTTACACAAGTAAGTAAAGATCCAATCACTCATCAAGATGACATACTGCAGTATGGCTACACTGGCATCATAGACACTGACCATGTACATGACATAACTGGCACTGTAATGGTAAGCCTTGTAAGCAGAAGGTTGTTGCTTCTGAACGAGTTCAAACGAGGGCTTGAACTATTTGGTCTAGCAAGTGCCATAGCGTCAAATGCTTCCTTGTGTAGGAGCCTTTTCGTTATCGAGTCCAGTAACATTACTGTTGATGCTAATTAGCTGGTATCCTTGTTAAAGCCAGTGTATTCACCAGAAGGAACCTCTCGGAGAACAGTCGAGGAAACCCTCATTGATAACTTTCAAGATTTCTTGATGGGGCTGGAAGACGAAAAGATGACTGGGTACACTGAGATGATAGCATGGAGCTCTCACGATTACCTTGAGGACGAAGAAGCACATCAGAAAGATCCAGTTAACCAGTCAGTAGAAGAAGAAAACCCCCAGTTCTTCCATTCTGCAGAACTAACACCATCAGGCGTGTTAGGGTGGTTAACCGGTCAGAGGCACAGGCCAGCAAATGGAGACGACCTTGCAATCACAGTAATGTTTAATTATGACTGCTTTGAGAAAAATCCAAACCACAGTGTTTGTTTCCCAGTTGTCTCTGCCTGTGCTAAGGCCGGTGACACTTCCAGTAAACCATATGAAGGAATCCGAAGATTTCACCCGTACGTTTCTTCTCGCATATTGCAAAGGTCAAGCATTTGGGCGGCGATAATTGGATTTCTAGTCAAGTAGAGTTCTTGTAATATGACTTGTTTAACACTTGACATATTTAAGGTTTTTGCCTTTTTTAACATTTCCTCCATTTTGCTGGTAAAACCATTTTAGCATATAAGCTTCTTATGCTCATGCTTAATACTCTTGAGTCACTAGTGAGGACCATGTTACGCTTATGCTTGCATCGCTAGTGAAGACAGAGCTTAAAATAATAATTATGTAAGTTACCCGGTTAAAGTTGTTCTTACGTTGTGTTGAAGAGTCGTTTTGTCAATTGGTAAGCCGTACTCGGTGCCAAGGTTACTTGTGACAGTTTGTCCTCACTATTTACATATCGACACTATCTGCAGCAAAAAGGAAAAAGTAACCCTTCCCTTTGCCCAACCTACATGTAGCTAAACAAACAAGGTACTTTGGCTTGGGAAGGGAAGGGATCCTTTTTTTTCCAAAATGCACCCCATCTAACAACACTGTCTCGATAATTTTGTCGCTGATTGCTTGCATGAAATATTTACATACAGGCAGGCAGTTTCTGTGGCATGTTTGGTTCAGTTCTGTAAGTTGTCCCACTGATAAAACTAGTTACCTGTTGACATGTATTACCGGTATTTGGTGGATGCAGGAGTCAACCAAGGTAATCGTTATTTAAAAAGCCCTGGATTTTTTTTACAGTGGCATCTGTTAATATTACTCTGGCAATGTCATTCCTGTAAGTTTACCTCTGATAAAACCAGGTCATTCACGGCTGATTAGAAAAGAAAATCTGTGTAATGAAACTATTTTTGACAAGATAACATTTAAAGAACTGACTAGTTAGAAAGCATTACAGAAAGCTGTTAATGTTCTCTGATTATTGACAACCGTTAGTAAACAACCTTTATGGAAGAAAAACTAATGTAACACCTTTTGCTAGATTGTATCAGATTTGTGTGATATGGACATAAGCAATAAGTTTGATTTCCCCTTTGTTGAATTTCTGGTTGTATGTATAGCCATTTGTCTTGAAGATTTGATAGAAATTTGGCAGGTTGTTTGTTAGTTCTCAGGATTTTCACCATTTTCCTAGTTAACAGAGCTATAAGACATTTTTTTTCATATTTGTTCTTTCTTATTTAGGACAAAGTATATTTACAGTCGAATAAATCAGTTTTGTTACTTGGATTGTGCATGTTGACCATGAATGAACTTGTTAGCATTAATGATGACTTGTATATGTTGATTCATTGTAGCAGTAAAATTTTCTCTTTGCAATTTCAGCTAATATCTTTCACTTAGAATTTTAATTTCTTTCTGCATTGATTACTTAGTCTAGAATAGAGTGGACCAAAAAGCTGGAAAATTAATTCAGTGTAGCCACTTAGAGATTTCCTTTTTTTTTTTTTTCACTTTTTGTTTCCTTACTATGCCATCCCTTTTGCTGTGTTCCCACGTTGGCAGCAAAAGAATAAAGCGAATGTTAGCAGTCTATTTATTTCGTTTTCACATGAAAACTAAATCGGAGCCTTCTGTTGGAAATCCTGACTTATCCCTCGAAGAGAGAGTAACAATGACAGGACCTATGAAAGAATGAAGGAAATCATCCATGTTAAACTAATGTCAAACAATCAATTCAATCAAATTTCATCCTCAGGTTGAAAACACTACTTTACATTTCCAATCTGACCAAGACATGTGAGCGTGAAAACACGTGTCTGATTTAAACATTAACACCTTTTAAACAGGTATAAAGCTTACATTGTAGCTATACCTTATCTTATGTTATAAATAGTCACATTAAGTAGAATATCCATTCTCAGCAATGTCTATCAATCTTTCATAGCACTGAAGAGCTTCCTTCCAGGTTGTAGGTAGTGCCAAACCCAGACCTTGTCTAACATACTCAAAATATTCTTGATGCTCATTATCATGTTCTTGTAGAGTTATCTCCTGGGTAACACACACTATTTCATTAGTTGCAACACTTGCTAATAGATTACTTGTGGCACCATGATATTCTGGCAGGAAATATAATGAATCTGGTCTTCCCTTAACAGTATTATGCCTGGAGCCTCTAATGTAGTGAGTGTTCCAATGCTCCCTGACAGTGTTACATTCTTCTTGTAGTAATTTGGAGAAACAGTACCACAGACACTCTTTGCTCATTTCGGAGGACATGTCAATTTTATGTTGGGCTTCTAGGTCCTGAAACAAATTTCTCCACCATGCTGACCTGTTTTTGGAAAAAAGGACCACCATCCTTCAATACGTTGATTCCGTGGTGAAGGGACATATCGATGAGCATCGGGGTTTTCTCGAAAGTAACTCTGAATTGATGCAAGTAGACTGTTCTCAGTTCCCAAGTCAGTAACTACTTCAACAGGGCAGCCTCCAAGTTCTTTGACAATTTCCTGTACGACAATTCTAGGGACTTTAATTCCTTCCATCTCTAAAGTATGCCAGATTGTTCTCTAACCACCCATTGATCCAGGACCATCAATAATTTCCTTTATGCCTTCCCTTACATGCTTGAGTAAATCCTCTGATGGTTGCGACCTTCTTGAGAGTCCATATTGTTTCAACCTTCTAAGCAGTGTACTGTAACTAATGCAATTATTATGGTGCTTTTCAAGGAAACCAAGAATTTCATTATACTCAAATCCTCTATTGTAGTAATAGGTTATGATCGCTTCTTCATCAAAGTTGAAATCTGTGTCTGAATCTGAATCCTCATTTAATGCATCTTCTAAGCCTGTTAAACAAACACCACTGTTTAAAATTCCATAGGCGCATTTGGCTTTTGTGTTCTTGGGCAAGACAGTTTACTCACACAGTGCTTCACTCCACTCAGGTGTGTAAACACTGTAAAATGGCGCCAACAAATTTAATTCTGAAAGGTAGCCCTTGATGGATTAGCATTCTGTTCAGGGGGGTGGGGGGAAAATAAATATTCCCAGCAAACCAGGATATAAGCTCCTGCCTGGTGGGCCACCTGAAAAGCTCCTCACCACGTAAGTCAAGAAAGTATTACCAAAATGCAGTAACATCCTTCAACATGAGGTATGAGCTTATTTTCTTTGGTTGTAACAAATTATTTATGTCTGACAAATGGGTTTAAGGAAGTATGACACACAGTTCAAAGTCAATATTTTCTGGGGATATCCCTTTTCCCCCAGATGTCACCAATCTGCGACTGACATTAATTCACTGTGCATATTTTTCTAACCCTGTCCCTAAACTTCACAATAACCGGCCGCTTAACTTCGTCATAGTTAACTTGCACCTCGTTAAATATAAACTAAATAATAAAACAAAGTGGCTACTGCGTTATTATGCCTCGTTACATTCTAATAGAATACGCAATGAAAATAAATGAGGAATATATTATATTACCTTGACCGCAAGTGACACAAAAGTTCGCCGACGGCGCAGTTTCCGTACCTCAGTTTGAGCAAAACATGTTCACCCATCGAATGCCGCCATGCTGGATTTGCCCCTAGGCCCAACATTCTTTGCGAGAACCTTGGGTTCCGGGCCTCCATCCTCCAAGGTCAGTTACGTGTATTAGCTTTTGCCGTGCAGTATTTGCTTTTGCCGTGCAGTATTTGCTTTTGCCGTGAGGTATTTGCTTCTGCCGTGAGTTTTTGCTTTTGCCGTGAAGTATTTGCTTTTGCCGTGAAGTATTTGCTTTTGGCGTGAGTTTTTGCTTTTGCCGTGAAGTATTTGCTTTTGCCGTGAGTTTTTGCTTTTGCCGTGAGGTATTTGCTTTTGCCGTGAGTTTTTGGTTTTGCCGTGAGGTATTTGCTTTTGCCGTGAAGGATTTGGTTTTGCCGCGAGGTATTTTGTTTTTGCCGTGAGGTTTTTGGTTTTGCCGTGAGGTATTTTGTTTTTGCCGTGAGGGTTTTGGTTTTGCCCTGACAGTTGTGGGCCACCGTAAATTATGCGTATGCCTTTAGCCAATCAGAAACGGAGAAATAATTTAAATGAATAATAATAAACATTAACAAGTGATCTAGGATGTTTAATTGCCTAATCTGTTTGGCAAAACAAGAAAGGCTTTTTAAATCCTGCTTCTGAAGAAGGTTCCACATTCCACACATTTTAAAATTAAAATACAAATCCCTCAAGATGAGAATATGAAAGTTATATTTCATAGCTTTAAAGAATGAACGCAAAAATACTAGTTGAATCATTGTGCCACTGAAAGAAATTGAAGCCAGTTATATAGCAGATCAAAATTTACATTGGTAAAATTTTATTCTCCTTTTTTTTCTGGGAATGGTGAGGACCACGAATACAAGTTCGAGCCAAAAATGAAAAAAAATATTAAATAAACAATTAAAATTAAACGGAACCATAACATGTATTTTGTTTAAAGATGGTCTTAAAATGTATAAATGTGAATGACCGTTAAGCTTTGAAGGTTAGTTGGTTCTGATGATGATGAAATACTACTTATGGAAGACAGTATATTTTTTTCTTACGTTCCCAGCATGTACGACAGAAGTACATTAATATCATCCATGGCGACAGTAGTCAGAAAGCAAGAACACTCGTTGGTGCTATGTTGAGGTACCTGTGCATAAGACAATTAGTCCCGCAAACTGTTACCGGAGTAACTGCAAAATACACGAGCTCTTCAAACCACTTCAATATTTAGACGCAAGTGTTAAGACGCTTTGGAGATCGAGGAGGAGTTCAGCTAGTGTAAATGAAGTGGCTTGATATTGATATTGATTAAACAAATCGGGATTTTGTTAATCACTCGTATGATTTCAGACCGAAGTGGACTCCACTTAGTCTTGTTACCACTACTAACTAAATATCAGGCCACTTCAGGCTCTTTTTTTTTTAATCAAAACAGAAGAAGTTCCATTCTTTTGCTAGCAATGAAAACAAGCCATTTAAGCGCACGCGCGTGATGGCGCGTACTGTCCTATCAAACTGTCCTATTGAGGCTGAAATCAGGGCAGTTGATAGCCAATCGGATTTGAGAATTTTGTTGTAGTTATGATTATCCCTTAAATTTGTAGTAATTGCAAATTAGGGGAGTGCGTTCGATAAGGGGGGGGGGGGGGGGGGTTAGGGTGTTGGGGTGTTTGGTAGTGAGTGGTAGTGGGAAGGGGCTGCAAAACCTGATGGGCTTGTAATATTGAGAAATCAGAATCAAACGCTTTTATCAATTCGAATACCAGCAGCTGTCTTTATCAGTGTTATTGTTTATCCTCACACTTTACAATTCGTTACCATTTCATTTTTCCTCACAAAGGGAAGAGCGCACTGTACTTTTTACATTTACTTGGCTAAACCTGTAAGTAAAGTACATGTAAGTAACAACAGGTCTAACACTGACTACTACCCCCAGGATATTCCTTTGCACTCTAGGATGGTCCATAAAATTGGTTAAAAATTGGGATACAGAATAATTAAAGTTATCTGAAAAGTTTAAGTGTCGAGTATCACTTTAAACCCTTGTTGTGTGACACTAGGCTAGCACGACTCACCTTATTCAACGCACCCGAAATTAGTGAGATGAAAAGGTGAACGTTTCACTGTTCAACTTCTTATATATTTTTCAAAAATGGTTACAAACAAAAGAAAATACAACGCTGTAAATAGCTTTTAAAAGCGAAAAGATGTAATATGTAATAGAATTAAATATGGTCGATGTAAGCTGATCTTGCTTAAATCCATAAAACCAAATACAGTGTGCAGAACGCATTGTTAACATAATATCTACAAATCTGATTATCTTAAAATGGAAATTTTCCTATATATTAAAAAAAAAACTCAATTGCAAACTGCGAGAAAAACCATAAAGAAACCTGTAGTAAGTAGAAAATCGCCAACGTTTCAGCTGTGAACGAGTGTCACAAAATAGATACTAGCTCCCGGGTAAGAAAAACTGAACACATGAGATCAAGGCAAAATGTGCCTGGCTGGTCCAAGATGGCGTCCAAACCGTGAAATCGCCTTGCATATAGAACGGTTACTACTTCATGTACGGTAAACAATTGGTAAATGTTCTCTTTCGTCGAACACAATTATTAGTCCAGTTATCCCTTAACCCTAAAACCCCTTAACAGGGCCTCATAACCATTCATTTATATATTCTCATATTCTTTGTTTCCACACGGTTCAGGGTGCAAGTGGAAGGAAGCATTAACATAATCGTGTTTCGTTTTGCCATCATCAGCGTCTCCATCTGGGTTCTTCATAAGAGATCCATATTCTGAATTTATTGTCGTTTGCTGCATTTGAGTAGGACGCAGCTCCATATAATTTGACTCCTTTGGAGAAAACGAGACTTCGGCATTGCCTAAGATTGAAAATGGTTAAAATCTAATCAAAATTTCACAGGAAAAGGGAGAATGGAAACCGTTGTAAACTCAGTTTTGAACTAAACATGTCAATAATTATTTATAAAACCTTTATTTTCGTGATCCTTCACTTGTAATTCTTTGGCAGAATGCTTGTCGCTTGTTTTGGAATTTCGCAGAGCACGCCAAAGGAACAGATTCACTCCAAGAGAGATGACTAATGCAACTGCTGAGACGATGTTTGATATTATAAAAGCTGCAACGTTAAAACATGTGTGTTAAAGTTCTTGTGAGGCGATTGCTTAAACAACCTTGTTTCTTGAGTAAGCTCTCCTCCTCCCTCGAGGAACGAAGAGAGATCAAGGACTCCGCGAATTTAATAATTAATATTAATTTATTACTTATAAGGCGCAAAATAGCATTAAAATATGATCTAATGGGCTCAATTAGATCTGGTACTTAACTGTTGATTATAATGCGTCATGAGAATTTTAAGACCGATACACAAGGGCTTTGCTCCCGGAGCATGCTCCAGGCTCATTTTGCACGGGTCAGAACACAAGAGGGAGCGTTTTCAAGTTCGCTCAATTTGCCCAGGGATCTTGCTTCCAAATATTTAACCGGTTAAATATCGTGGAGTTTTTTGCGGGGTGGAAATGCTGCTCCCGAGGATGAAGTATACCCATGAAATCGTTGGTACACGCGGAGGAGCTTTGCTCTCGGAGCGTGCCCCTGGAGCATGATCGAGGAGCAAAATCCCTCATGTGTATCGGCCTTTATTAGCGTGCGTGGTAGGATTCGAAAGGAGATGGGAAAGGATGGGAAGGGAGAGGCGGGAATTGAGAACAGAGGGAAAGGGACTCCCTCTCCCTCAAAGGAAAGTAAAACATGCACTCTTTAAACAGACACACTTTTTGATCCCTCAGGGGATTAACACTA